TGAACTTTCTTCTTCTTCTTCTTCTTCTTCTTCTTCTTCTTCTTCTTCTTCTTCTTCTTCTTCTTCTTCTTCTTCTTCTTCTTCTTCTTCTTCTTCTCTTTCGGGGCAGACTCTCAATCTGCAACCCTGGTTGTCCTAGAACTCATGATGAAGACCTAGCTGGCCTCAAAGTTGTTACAATTCTCCTGCCTCAGTGTCCTAAGATCTGGGATTACAAGCATATGCCACCACACCTGCCACTGAAATGACACTACATCTGTCCTCATGTGACAGGTCACAGGCAAAACACAACTGCACTAAAAATATTGTATAAAATTACCTGTGGGTTATATGTAGAAGAATGCATGAGAACTTGTCTTTAGATTCAGGTCATATACCCAAGATACTTCATGGTGGAAATATCAATATTCAAAATCTGGAAAAATATCCTCCATCTGAAACTGTTGTGTTTCCAAGCAGTTCAGATAAAGGATATTCAATTAATAATATATAAGGACACATATAGTTATAGGTATCATATGTAACATATGCTTATATATGTAAATTAAATGCAATTAAGTGTCTTAAATATAGTCATACACTAAACAATGGTATCAGTCAGTGAAGACTGCACAAGTGACAACCCCAATATATTATGTCACTTAGCTGATGATGAAATTGAACAGGGATGATTTTTTTCAGAATGTGCCACTATACATATACATATATATATATATATATATATATATATGGTTTAGTATGTGCACCTAGACATGTATTTGGTAGACTATTTTTGAATTCTGTACATATTGGCTTACAGACAGCCAGGCACTGTTTTGCAAGACCAAAGATAAGTGGGACATGGAACTAAAGGCTCTCTTCTAGGATGCCACACCTCAGTGCCAGCCCAGGTCTCTGTGTGGCTGACTTGCTGGGTTGAACAGTGGGTGGAGGTTAATAAGCAAAAGCGTTCTGTTAGCGAGGCTTCTGAGCCTATCGGGGCCCTTCGCAGGCAGGCAGGCCCCTTCCCTCTGCCCTCTGATAGGTCTTATCTTTGCATCCAGAGCAGAGAAGTAACCACATGCATGGCAGGCGCCTCAGACAACGATCTTATCTCCTTTCCAACTACCAAAATAAGTCACTGTACTTTCAGATGTCCCAATCTTACTGGCAGAACTCACTGACAGATATTCTTATTCCCTTATGGTCTGCTTTATGTTTCTTCTGAGAGATGAGGAGTTGAGTACTTTGCCTCTGTCCCCTAAGTTAGAGAATAATAAAGGAAAACTGTGTTGGCATAGCTGTGGAGTGAGCCAAACCATAGTATTTACCACCCAGAGATTGTTGGTGACATCTTAGGTTATTTAACTGTAGGTTTTGTCTGAGATCTGCAGCAAAGTTGTCTTGTCTTTTTTGATATCTCCCTACATCCTAGTTTCTCCTTATATTATGGTTTAGAGTGGCAGATATTTTTTCTTTATCTCTTTTTATACCTGCTGAGTGGCTAATTTCTTCATTCTTTATATTTTATAAGTGAACTATTACATTTGCTTTAGGGGCGTCTTGGACACAAGGAAGCATAAGCATATTTTTTTAGTGTGCCACCCAGAAACAGTGCTTTTCAAGGGAATTAAATTTTCACTTCAAGTGTTTTTTCATTTATATATAGCTTTCCTTCATGCAGGTCTGGATTGGAATACACTTCTAATAATCTATTTTCTTCTTTGAAAAAAAAAAGACATCCCGAAAAATGACAAACAACTTTCAAAGCTAGTGCAACTTTGTCCGGGGGTTGTTAACTTTAAGGTCCTGGAGAAATGCTGGGATTTTACTGTTGATATCCCAAGGCAGAAAATTCACTCTCACATCAAGAAGGATCAACAAGATGTGGTGGAGGGATGTTGCCCTGGGCTGTCAGCACAGGGCATTTTTGGTTAGTATTCATGCAATAGTTTATTGAAGACCTTGGAAAACGCATTTGAGTTTTCAGCCCCAGAAGGCAGCAGCAGCAGCAGCATCTCTTCAGATCACATGTTTCCAGTGGCTAGAACACTGTGATCGATTACAATGACACAATTGAATGTGCCCAGCTAAGCAGTGCAATTTCACTAATGGTTATTAAAACCCCACTCTTCATTGGGCAAGATGTCAGCCACAATTAAAAAAAAAAAGATTAAGGGCCTTGGGTTTGACTGTGTGTCTACCTGCTATCTGCTCAACACTCTCAGTACCATTTCCTACACTTCCCTTGTTTGCTCTGTATCGTAGGAAACTACTCTGCAAAAAAAAAAAAAAAAAAAAAATGTGCATATTGCAACCTCAACCTCCTTTGTCAAGTAACTTGTGTTATGTTGGGCAAAGAAGGTGTTCTGGTTGAAAATTATGGAGGGAGAGAGCAAGCTTACTCCTACCTGCCATATTATTTCTACTCCGAATGCTTCCAAAGCAGCAGCTGACTCCTGTCAATAGTTACCACCTGCTGGGCAGCTCCTACTCTGTGAGTGCGATCTGATCTCTCCTGGACGCTGTTTGGACTCAGCACTGTCTCCTTCCTCGGTCCCTCCAGGCTCAGGACAAAGCAGCTATCTGCAGCTGCTCTGCTCTGGGCTGGCTTGCCTCCTCTGCTTGCTCAGCGCTCCACATGGCTACGGAATTAGTTTCACGTATTAATTTTGTCCTAGTGAACTAATAGCGCGAGTTCCTTCTTTTCCTGCTGGAACCTGATTCCTTCTTCAAACACTTCTATGTTCCAAAGCCAGCGAACCCAAGCTTTCCTTCCCAGTTACAATGCTTGGAAAGAGAAAATGCGACATTGCCGGCGCTCAGTAAGAACAACCTGAACAACAGTGAGCCCCTTATTTTTTTTTTTTTTCGTCTCTCACTGTTAGAATAGTAATAAAAATTGGCACGTGTGTGTAATCCTTGACTCTGTGAGATGTGATTATTCGATTACTTGGCAAAGTGGGTTCTACAACCCACTTTTAAAAAAAGACATGTATTAATTTCAGTTTCTGGTCATTTTCTCATACACGTGCCCTGTGTTGTGATCATCTGACACCGATTGTTATCTCTTATCTCCCTGACTTCTTCTGTCACCCCTTCCTTCTCCCAAACAACCCCTCTCCCGCTTCCTTGTCTTTCTGTGTATGCAGATCTTGTGCACTGTCCACAACTGGGGCAAGGATGACACAGGAGACCAACAGGACATTTCAGGCAAGGACGTTACTCTTGGTGAGCACGTAGTTCTTAGCTGTGTTGTTACTGACAGTAATTTATATTGTTTTTTAGCAAACATGTTTTATATACATTAAAAAAATAAAAGCAGTGAAGTTATGGAAGTCACATTTATGTATTCTTAGCATAATCAGTCAATATTCAGCAATCCTTGATTCTGTCTAGGAGAAACAGAATAAAAGACGTAGTGCATTTGTTGCCTAAGAGATTTGAGATTTTGAAATGCGTAAATTCACTATTCTAGTTCAATTACAGGGAAATACATACACCACCAAGTAATTTTAACTGCTAGTGAAGTTGTGGATTTATGTAGGCTATGAAGAGAACTGAAATGAAGAATCTATTTGAATTTTGTTTCATACTAGCTCAGTAGAAGCCATCTTCTACCTTCATTTTCTGTCCCCTGGAATAACTACAGATGATCAAATGTAGAAGCCTTAATTCACTACCTTTATTAAGTACAGCTTTAAAGGCATTTGTCTTGGTTCACCTCAGTTTGTAAACTTACCAGTATCCCTTCTCACTTGCATAGGCTTTCATAGACTCCAGTAACAAAAAAAACATTTTTTATTCAGTATCCCAGCTCATGGTGGTGTTTCAGAATCCCCCTGGGCAGTGAAATTTAATGCTGCATTTGCATGAAGACAGACAGCTGTTCAGGTTCCTCCTGCTTCCCAGATGTGAGCTGACAGTTCTCTGGAGCAGTGCAATGCCAGAGTGAAACCTCAGCATGCTGCTGTGGGCCACAGACATTTGCTGTGCCCATGTCAACCTCACTTCCTGTTGAGGAGAGAGTAAAGGTGGTTTGCATGACCAAAGCTGGCAAAGGAATGGAACCTACATGCTAGGGTACAAAACCTTAATGAAGAGGACAGTGGATGTTAGGATTGCCTTGTGGTTTCCTTGGAGATGTATGCAAGATCCACAAGAAAGCGTTCTCTGCTGCAAGTTCACATCCTACTTCAATATAGATAGTTTATGATCTCAGATTATAGAGTTATGTAATCTGAGGTTCAAGAGACTTGCATTATAAATTAACCTAAATATATACTTGCATGTTATTATTTATAAAACCTGCAAAGATAAAATAATAAGTGACCTTTAGTCTAAACAGTCATGGGCATTTTTGTCAATCTTATCTCACCTGCTTTATCTTTATTTAAAATTTGTGGTATATTTTAAGATAAATCTCTGGTGTTGTTTTGCATACTATACAATTAAGTACTTTTCTCCCACAGAAGTATCTTTTAAAATTACATAACTTTATTAAATTATTATGTCTAACTAATTAAAAATAGTTTAAGACATGCCTGTATTCTAGCATTTTGGAAGTTGACACAGGTTTACCCCAAGTTTAAATCTAGCCTGGGCTACAAAGCATAACCCTTTCTAGATATAGATGTTAATAAATAGAACTGTAGGACTAATAAGAATATTTGTTCTTTTGATTATCTTTTAATTCACAGTTTATAACAATTTTTTCATCTCAAAGTATCTTCTAATACTTGTTTATTTGAATCAAGATCTAATCAAGATTCATATAGTGCTTCTGCTTAATTAATCTTTGAAATCTTCTTTAGCATTTGACAAGAGCTCTCTCATCTTTCTTATTTATGAATGTTATTTATTTGTTGAAGAGTCACAGTTTGACTGAGATTCTGAATTTGTCCATTTACATCTTCCTGGTGACATGTACACATTTCATTGTTTCCGTATATTTAAAAAATGCATTGTTATCTATGCATTGAGCATAATGCTAGAATTTATAGTGACACTACTTTCAAATGTGTTATGTGCTTTGATCACGCTGATCTCCTATACTTTCAGCTTTCTTTTCTTCTTTCCCCTTTTTTTCTTTGCTACTAATCATCCTTCTGTCAGACTCCTGCTTTCTCATCTATGTGTCTGTGCATAGTACATGGTGTGTGTGCACATGTGTGCTTGTGTGACTTTATGTACCTATATGAAATCTAGAGTTTACAAATGAGCGAAAAAACGTTTGGTAATTGCTTTTCTGAGTCTGGCTTAATTTGCTTAACAGAATGACCTCAAGTTGAATCTATTTTCCAGCAAATGATGCAGTTTTACTCTTCTTTGTTGCTGAATAAAAAATTCCTAGTGTGGATAGATCACTTGCTGTTCATCTACCCATCTACTGTTGAGTCACCTTGGTTGACTCCATTACTTGAGTACTGTGAACCAACATGCATGTGCAGTTTTCTCTGTGGTATGCTGGATTCAATGTGACCAGCAGCAAGTATTCCATCTCCTATCACTGTGTCTGCCCTGCTTACTGACATTCTCCACCATGGTGGACTGTATTTCTCTTAAATGAAGCCAAAATAACCCTTTTTCCTTAAGACGATTTTGTCAGAATATTTATCACATTAATAAACAAACAAGCACTAAGAACACCCCCAATAAATCTCACTTAACTCTCTCCCCAAGTAGCCACTTTTCTCCCCCCAGATAAGTTTTTTGTATCTACAAAAAAATCTTAGGATCCACAAATGAATGATAGAAATAGTAATACTTGTCTTTCTGAGTCTGCCTGGCTCATTTGATTGTGATGGATGGCTTCTCCTGGAAAGACATGATGTGATGGCTATTCTTGGTTGTCAACTTGACTATAACTGAAATGAACTACAATCCAGAAATGGAGGGCACACTTGTGAGAGATTTTTGGCTTGGTTTGAAGTGGGTGAATCCACTTCTAGTTTGGACCTTTGGGACGCATACTTTTAATCCAGATCTTGGGGCAGGAAGACACACCTTTAATCTGGGCCACACTTTCTGCTGGAATAAGGACACAGAAGAAGGAAGTTCTTGTTTATTGTTGGTTTGCCCTTTCCTTGCTAGCACATCTATTCTTTCACTGGCAATGGAGCTTACTTTTTCTTTCTTTCTTTCTTTCTTTCTTTCTTTCTTTCTTTCTTTCTTTCTTTCTTTCTTTCTTTCTTCTTTCTTTCTTTCTTTCTTTCTTTCCTTCTTTCTTTCTTCTTTCTTTCTTTCTTTCTTTCTTTCTTTCTTTCTTTCTTTCTTTCTTTCTTTCTTTCTTTCTTTCTTTCTTTTTTTTCTTTTTTGAGACAGGG